TTGCTAAATAAGATACTAAGTCTAGATAATTAAAATAAAGTAAAGTAAAAAAAATGATATAGTGGATATAATATATAATAGTATATAATATAGTAGATGATATATATATCACGGCTGTTTCAGAGTGGACACACGGCTTCTTGTTATTTTTTGATAATAATTACTTAGGGGGTGTTACTAAAACTTTCATAACTTTTGAAATATTAAAGATAAATACGTTCTGTAAAAAGAATATGAACACTGACTAAATGTTTTATATTTTATTATTTAATATAATAATTCAAGGCTGCTCTGATATTTAAATAAACGCGCAAAATGACAAACTTGGCAGAATTTCGATATTTTAAAGGTACTTTTTAGCAAAAATAATCAGAAAAATTATATTTCTGTTGACTAATATGTAATATAAACATAGTTAGACCAATTATAAATCATATTAACATTATTTACACCGAATCTAAACTGATACAGGCACTACAATAAACGAAATAAAAAAATCGCAACAATTTTTTAATTTTTTAAAAAGATTTAGAACAAACAAAAAGAGTTTTGAATTATTTTTGCTTTCGGTCGTAGAATAATTTAGATCAATATTACAATATTAACACTTTTTTGTGGAAAAATAACACATTTTTTATAAATATACATAACAAAATAGGCAATTTAAATAATTTGATAAATATCGTTTTGGTGAATTGACATAAATAATTTTTTTTTCTGTTAATATATTTATAAATGTTCTAAAGTAGTAAACGATCTTTGTATGCAATTCATACTAGTTTTGATTCCATTCCATATGGAAAATACTCTTCATAATCTTACTGACTTCTCATGTTAAATGTTGGCGCATCATGCTTCTTATGGAGTTTTCCAAAGTTTGTTTTATTTATACACTAAAATTTGTCTCGCTAAAAAAGCTGTTTTAATAATTTTTATTTAATAGTGAATTGGGAAGTAACGCATTTAAAGTTACGTCATTGCTTTAAAATGTAAACAAAAATTTTTCGCATGTAACTACAAATTTTGTTGCTAAAAGCAACAAACTTTGTCAAGGTTGAAAACGTTTTAGTAAGAAGTACAGAAAGTAATTTTTTTGATTTTTATGTGCATAAAGGTTTGTTATTTCAATAATTTGGTGAACTTGGAAAAAATATAACGTTTTTCATATAAAACAAGTAATAACAAAAGTATAAAAGCTAAAAACTCCAACTTAAATTTTTTTTTTATCCATGTTCACCAAAAATCTGATAAAATAGACATTCCTTTATAAGTATGTGAAATTTCAACCATAAAGCATGTAGCTTAAAATATCTAATTTTGATTGGCTCAAGACAGGTTTTCCTTTAAATACGCAAAAAACAGAAAAGTGATTCCAAATCATTAGCAATATTTTTGCAACTTTTATTTTTATTCCGTTTAATCAGAATATTAATTTAACAAGGAAAGATAGATGTTTCATTTTTTTTTTATTAGAACATAAAAGCGTTTATAGAAAAAAAAAACCATTACTTTAAAGTTATAGAATTTTTATACTTTTTTTTTTTTATACTGTTTTTGCTAAACTCGTGACGTAATGCCCAATTTTACATTTCGTGAAACAGCCGTGATATATATATATATATATATATATATATATATATATATATATATATATATATATATATATATATATATATATATATATATATATATATATATATATATATATATATATATATATATATATATATATATATATATATATATATATATATATATATATATTATTTGTCATTAACGCTAACAGTATAAGTCAAGGCACCTTTGTTTTACTTATTGATGCAAAATATGATAACAAAAATTTTACTTGTTAATGCGGCAAAATAAAAATAAAATACGGTAAGCGAAAACATCGACCTACTTTGGAGTTATGTTAACGTCTGCTAACCTTTTGAGAAATGTACATTATCTCTTCAGTACTACAAAGAACTTTATTATGTCAAGCTTCATTAATAGAAAATCTTTTGGAAGATAATTATATTTTATATTGACTTTTTAAAGTGGTTAGAAAGAAATTTGGAGCAATATTGCCAAATGAGTGGTGGCAGGTTCCTTGTCAGTTTCAAAGATGTTATTTATGTAAGAAGATAATCCAAATAAAAAGTTTAATAAAGGGAGGAACTCAAATTTTTGAAAATGATATTAATGCTGTTGAAGGTACACAACATACTAGATCCTTGATGGATCAGATCAAAGAAAGAGATTTAGATTGTGTGATTTAATCAGATAATTTTCGTGAAGTTACCAGTTACATTGCTGGTTTATTACCAAAAACTGATTAAGATGTTTAAAATATGTTGCAAACTGCTTTGTACTCAAAATTATCAACAGGAGATGAATGAATATAACTATCTAAATAAACTGTCCAGAGTCTAACAACTCTATCATTACTGCTTTTAAAATGTCTGTGACAGTTTTGCTATGCTAGATCATATATTTGATGTTATTTATTAGTCTCAAATGCAACACCATAAATCAGCAAAGTTAGTTCATGGCCGTAGAGTAGTTTACCAACCATTTTTATGTTTAAATTACCAAATTTGTTGCATTAATTAAAAGACAGAGAAAAAATAAAAATATTTTGTTTTACATTTTAAATCAGTTTGTGTATAATTTTTTAAATATATTTTAAAGCTTATTTTTGAGAATTTGTGTATTCTTATTTCTTGTTCCGTCCTTGAATATCCCAAAATTTCTACTGACAAATCTAACCCATGTCTTTCTAAAATCATTTTAGTAATATATAATTATGAAGGTTAAAAATGTTGTGTTGTTTTCGATAAACAAGGTACTGCTATTTTTTTTAATAAAACGAAGTCTCGATTAAGTATACAAAAAAGTGAAATTTAGTAGATATTTCGATTAAGCTAACTCAAAAGTTTTCGATTTAAGCAGAATAGAAGGCCGTGTATTTAAGTAGGCCATGTCAGTAATACATTTTTAGATTCATTGTTTAAGATTTCAATAGTTAAAATTTCGTTATCGCCGTCAGAAACGCTTAAACCATTCCTAACGTAATGCGCAATGTTTCATTCACGTAAATAAGAACTCCGCCAATGTGTTTATTTGCATGTCTCTCTTGAGATATTAAATCAAAACGGGGAAGATGAAAATTTCAGTTATTACTTAAATGGTTTGTGTTTATCCAAGTTTCAGTTAAATAATATTAAAAACATTTTTAGTTTCTTTTAATAAGTAAAGGAGCTTTTCAAAGTTGTGACTTATGCTTCCGATATTTATATGAAGGATTTTAATTTGTTCGTCGTTATTGGAATTAAAAAGAGATCATTCTATTTCACTAGGATATAAAAAACAATCATTATTTAAATCATGAGAATAATTAGGATCTTTTTCTATATTTATATCTATTAAAGTTTTCATTTTTGAAAAATTAAAAGTTTGGTGCTTAAAATTGCTAATTTCAGCCATTCCGGTGAGAGTTAGAATCTCCTTTTATTTTCGCGACTACGTTATTTTAATTATGCATATCTTTAACAAAAATTAAATTAAATTTGATTACTGCATACCTACTCTCTTTACGATGCCTATTCCCACATGCCTTCTTCCCACAATTTTTTACAATGCTCCAGGGTTTCTTACGCATAATCTACATTGATAAAAATTCTTAAATAAAAATTAAGTGCCTTTAAGTTTTTTCACAGATGTTAAAATTATGCATTTATCATTATAATTTAGGAGTTTAAGGAGTATAGTTCTTGGTAACTTGTCTTTAACTCTTCCTATTCGATGGGCTCACTCAACCACATATCGATGGGCTCGCTCAACCACTATATCATCGGCAATTCCAAACAAATTGTTCGGAACATAAAAAAATTCGTATGTAAATATTTGCATATATATATATATATATATATATATATATATATATATATATATATATATATATATATATATATATATATATATATATATATATATATGAAAATCCCTTGTAACAGCAGGCTATAAGACAGTCGATGTATGTACTAAAGCCATTAAACATTCTTTATGTTTATATTAAAAAGTCACCACTTTGAGCAAGCACAACAAGTGATAAAATAAAAATTATTTTAGACCGCCTAATTTTATTTGCAGTTATCATTTATGTAAAGATTTCTGAAAGTTTAGGAATATAGTGGTACAAAGAATTGCTATCCATTTTTGGGCAAAAAATAAGCTCTTTTTTCATCAAAAATGTTACCTGCCTCTGTTAATAGTCTCAGTTTAAATGTTTCTTAACTTTTAAATAGTTAAAAAGTTTAGGATGTCTAATACAGTAAATATTTTATATTTTTTTAATATGTATATGTATATATATATATATATATATATATATATATATATATATATATATATATATATATATATATATATATATATACATATACGTGTATATACATATACGTGTGTATATATATATATATATATATATATATATATATATATATATATATATATACATATATATATACATATATATATACATATACGTGTATATATATACATATATATATATACATATACGTGTATATATATATATATATATATACGTGTATATATATATATATACGTGTGTGTATATATATATATATATATATATATATATATATATATATATATATATATATATATATATATATATATATATATATATATATATACATATATATATACACATATACGTGTATATATATATATATATATATATACGTGTATATATATATATATATATACGTGTGTATATATATATATATATATATATATATATATATATATATATATATATATATATATATATATATATATATATATATATATATATATATATATATATATATAGGAAAAACTATTAAATTCATAGAAAAAAACAAAACTCTAAATCTGACAATAAATTCATTTATATTTTTAATTTTTAATGCCAGCAAAATTTTTTGTATCCGCTGTGAAGCAGTAGAAGACTATAAAATGAAAAGTAATTTGGCAAACAAATTTTATTATACAATTTAAAAACAAACAACTTTTCGATATAGTTTGATTACAGATTGTATTCGCGATTATTTCCGAAAGAAAAAGTATTAACACGAACAATTATAACGCAGGCTAACTTTTGGAAGCACTAATGTTTAATAAGATGATCGATAAACACTTTAACTAAGGGCGCAAACGGTAAGTTTTCTTATTTTGTGTAACTTTATAATGCCTTCTTACTTCCATATTCGGAAAGTAATCTGTCGCATGATTACTATATGGTCTCTCATCGTAAGAAGTGCCTTCAAAGTAAGAACTCTCATTTAGTCTATATTTCCGTTTATCCGGCGATAAGTGGGGGAGTGTCTTTTCATTAAAGTTTTTTTTAATAAACGATTTCTTTTCGCTGTAACCTTTTTGAAATGTTTCAGAGCCCGGTGATTCATATCTATAGGGTTTGACAACGCCTAAACTCCTATGGTCTATTAAAAACTGTTTTCTATTACACGTGTTGTCAAAATGTGTTGAGTCTTGTCGATAATTTAAAGGAAAACTTCTTACTTCATTTGGTTTATAAACCGGCTTGTTTGTAGCTGAAATTTCAGAAAGATTATCTGTAGATAAGCGTGAACCAAGTCGGGAAAAAACATCTGTCTTTTTATCATTCGAAGACGCAGATAAACTAAATAAATTTTCGCTTCGAACAATACTTACGTCATTATTATCATTATAGTTCTGAATACAATTTTTCTTCGTATCCACCGATTTTGGATCATCACTTTTAACCGACATTTTGATTTTTTTGGGCGATAAATTTTCTAAATAATTCTTGTTTGAAGATTTTAATTGCCTTGAATTAATTTTGATTACAGCTTTTGGATTACTCGATCTTGGCATTTTTGCACGTTTGACTTTTCTTGCGTAGCTTAATTGCTTGTCATTATTTGATAAAGATTCTTTTTTAGATGTAAAATCTATATCATTATCTTTTATATCTTCAATTAAGACTCGACATTCAAATGTTGAATTACTAAATTTTGTCTTAGAAAGGTTATCGGTAATGTTGATTGAAGTTTTTTCATGCTCTGAAATCAAAGAACATTTAAAACGTTTTTTTGAAGGACTGGTAACACAGTTTTCTTCTTTCTGCACAACACCAAACCGCTGAATTCTTCTTTGAATTGCGTCATCATTACTTTGAATTGTGTCATTTTTAGTTTGAATTGCCTCATTGTTAATTTGAATAGTAATACTATTGGGTAATTTACTTTGTGCTTGATGCAAAACTTTACTTTCATCGCAAATTAAAGGAATGGGTTCGTTAAAGGTCGGAGATTGAATTAGTACTTTTTGATTATGAACAAAACTAGGGATAATATTTTCCGATAAGTTCAAGTCGGATGGAGTAATCTTAAATTTTTTATCTTTTGGTTGTTCATATTTGCAGTTGGTATTAGAATACAACTTATTTTCTTCTGGAAACTCATGTAACTCATTAAAATTGTACATTTTTACAGGTTCAGATGATAAATCCTGTATGGGAGATTGAACATTTGTGCTTTCTGAGGCTGAATCACTTTTTATACTATTGCTAAATGTACGAATTAAAAAACCTTTAACATAGTTCACCATATATTCTTTGTTTTCGTAATTATTAGACAAACTTATTTGTCGAACACAATCTTCAAACACGTTCTTCACGGCTAAGTCTTGAAGAGTAGCATTCATAATTTCATTAATGTTTATAACTGAGTCAATATCTTGCTTTTCATAATTTTGGATTCCAATATCACTTTGAATATTAGTTCTTTTGCTTTGATGGTTTTCAATAGATTGTGGCGATATATACCTTTGATGGTTTTCAATAGGTTGTGGGGATATATAAGCTACTTTTCTTTTTGATGTCGTTAGCAACACCTGCTGAGTTTCATGAATATCATTAAAGTACTTGTTCTCTTTAATTTTTTCAACAGCTCTCCAGCTTAATAAGCAAGGATCATCAAAGCATTTACTTTGAATTCCATCTTGAAATTTGGTAATAGACGTATAATTATCGAAGCTACCTTTGAACAGTAATGGAGGTTTTGAAGGAAATGGTTTAGACCCGGTTGGTTCTTTGGTTAGATCACACAAGAACTCTTGATTTTGAAAATCTAATCTTGGTTGACACAAAAAATTGTCATTAAATCCCAAAAATTTGCTACTAGATGAAAAAAAACCTTCACTTTGAGTTAACCCACGATTTGGTATTAATGGATATTTACTGATTGGTTCATTAATGAGAATTGGACTTTTGATATCTTCACATATGTCCATCGGAGTAGAGTGATGGTCATCAATTGCATCATGTGGAAAAAAGTCAGCTTCTGATAAAACTGGAAGTTTAGGCAGTTCAACTGCACATTCTAATTGTTGAAAATGTTCTGAGTTTTGACTTAGAATTGAAAAACCTGTATCTTTTCTTAAAGTTCCAAGGTCATTTTGAGTGTTGTCATTTTTTGTAAGATTTAGATGACCCAAAACAACTGAAGAATTATTTGATCTTAAACGAGGGTCAGATACCAAGTTATATGAACTGCTAAGCTCAGGTTTAGAATACACAACGGGAGTTTCTATCTCTAGAGGAATTAACTTCCATTCAATTAATTTAGGTAAAGAACTGTTTTTTCTTAACAAATCATCTTCAGCAAAAAAACGTCTTTTTTTCTCTCGCTCTAAAACACGTTTACATACGTCTATGCAATAAGCTCCGTCAGAATGGTGGTGAGGCAAGTTATAATAAGATTCAGAAGGTTTATTTCTGCGGAAACTTTGCGCTCCATCAGATGTATCAACTACATTCTGTTGAACATCACTTTCTTTGCTGTTACTACTATTTATGCGTAGTTGCAAAGCACATTGTTTTGATTTTTCTGTAATATTAACATTAGAATCTGTTTCTAAAGGACTGTTAGACTCATTTGAATATGTTGGAGATTCTATATCAATAACACTTTTACTTTTAGATACTATTTTATTAACAAGCTTATCACCAAGTGTTTCAATTACAGCTCCAATTATCTTCTCTTGTATTGCAAAATCTTCTTTTAATTGTTCCTTCAGTATTTTTTTAATTATAATATCGGGACTATATTCAGTTGATTTTTTAATACTTTCCTGGATTCCTGTATCAGAGTTCTTATATTTCTTTCTCTTTTTTTGTTTTTTCTTTGATTTATTAGATTCGATTATTGGAACATCATCTGTAACTTTTCTTATGTAAGGTTCTTGAATGTCAGCATTATCAATGTTTTCTTGGTTTTTTGTATTAGCGTTCTTATATTTCTTTTTTTTTTCCTGTTGTTTTTTTATTAGATTAGGTTTATCAGATTCAATTATGGGAACATCCTCTGTTACTTTTCTTACGTAAGGTTCTTGATTATCAATGTTATCATAACTATTTTTTACATTTTCTACCTGAGCGTTTAAAGAAGAAATATGTTTTTGATGATTCTTTTTAAGTTTAATACTTTCAAACTTTCTTTTTAACTCAGAGCTAATAAGTTCATTTTTATAAACCAAAATAGTATTTTTGTCTAACTGCTGTTTTTTGTCATTTTTTGAATTGCCTGTAGTACTTTGTGTTTTACGCAATTGCACATTTGTAGATATATGTTCTGAAATGTTATTATTATTATGAGAGATTTTAGCAGCTAATTTATTCAATTCTGCATCTGAGTTCCCCTCAAGCAAATCCATTTTAAAATCTTTTTCAAATATAAAAACTCCATTTTGATTAGGTTCTTTAAATGCAAGTTTGTTTAGAGTAGATTCATTATTCAAAGGTTTGCCCATCTCAGGTTCATTCACCTTAAGATGCATTGTGGATATGTTAAATGCAACCTCATTTAATGAATTTTCATTATTTGCAGGCTCATCCATAACAGACACATTATCTTCAAGTTTATTTATTGCAGGCTTCTTATTTAAAGATAAATTAACTAAAGGTTCACTTATTGCAAATTTATCTAATACATGTGTACTTAAACTATTTAATGTATGTAGTTCGGCATTATAACAACACTGACTTTTCTTAGAACAATCATTTATTGCAGGTTCATCAATTACAGATTTACATATTGCTGACATGTTAACTGCATAAGTTTCATTATTTTCAGGCCTATCCATAAGAGACATCTTAGGTGCAAGCTCATTTAGTAAAGGTACATTAACAGCAGGTTCATTTATTGTAATTTTATCTGGTAAAGGTGTATGCAAAAAATTTAAAATATGTCGTTCAGCATTATAGCAACTTTGACTTTTCTTAATATTTTCATTTATAACAGGTTCATTCAATACAGAATTACATATTAATGACATACTAACTGCAGGTTCATTTATTGCAGATTTATCCATCACAAGTGTATTTAAAACATTAGAGGTACATAGTTCAGAATTAAAATTACATTGAGTTTTTCTATTTTTTTCTAAAGATTCTTTTACCATCACAGTTTTCTCTAAATCAGACTGAGGTTTGACTGAAATATCAGGAATATTGTAAACTTGTAAATTGTCTAAGTAATTAGGAAAACAAGGATTATCTGAACTTATAATAGAAGTATCAATAAAGTTCTTTGCTATACTTTGATTATGGGTTACATTCTTGGTTTTATTCTCTTCTAAGTGATCAGTTTGTTTAAATGCTACATCTGAGGTATTAAATATGCATTGGAGGGTGTCATTGCAATTTTGAACAGTAAATAGAAGGCCTCTGCTTTTAGCATCATCAACAAGAGCTTTCCAGTCTTCATCAATCTATATAAAACAAAAAAAAAAATGCTTTTAAATTTATAAATAATTTAGATCTATAGATAAAATATTTTCATTAAATAAAAAATTTTAATATTTAAAAATAACCTCAATTGAATTACAGTTTGCTAATATGATCAACACATCTTTTGCTCTTGTTAAAGCTACATTCATTCTTTGTGGATTACTCAAAAAACCAATACTTTCTTGGTGATTTGAAGCTCTCACACAAGAAAATATCACAATTCGTTTTTCTCTACCCTGAAATCCGTCAATAGTATCTACTTCTATACCTTCAAGTTGTGCTAGCTTTTTGTTTAACTCCTGTTTTATTAAACTTGCTTGATATCTATATGGAGTAATCACGGCTATTTCATTAACATTAGCATTTTTTTCTGTAACAATTTTTTCACATATTGCAATGATGTGTTCACGTTCTACAGGATTATGTATTCCTCTAAAAACATAAAACAAATCTAAAGATTTATTATAATTAGATTTTAGTTCATTTAAAGGTTTAATTTTAAAAAAAAGCTTCAAAAAAAAAAAAGTTTAATTTTAAAAATAAAGCCCAACAGTTGAAAAAACAACATAAAAAGGTGGTGCTATTAGACATCTGAAAAATAGATCAAAAGTTCACCTTCAAAAAACTTTTTAAAACTCAAAGATAAAAAAATAAAAGTAATATACAGCATAGAAAGTATATGAATAAAGCAAAATTTCTTACCCCATTCGAGTTTTATCTTCTCTACTTTCATCTAAGTTAAGAAACACATAGGGTTTTAAATCAGACTTTTTCTTTATTAGCGCTTCATTAGACTTTAGTTCATTGTTATAAAACCTTTTGTTTGGGAACCAACAAATTTCAGGTGCCATGCGATATTGATAGTTAAGTAAAATCGCTGGACGCACTGTAAAATAAATCATCCCTTAATTATTTACAACAAAAAGTTGCCTCTATTAAATTTTAAAACTAACACAAACCAAATCACCTCCTGCTTCACTGTTAATAATAATGCCTTTATACAATCGTTCAAACAATGATTGACCCAAATTAAATCTACCAGCTCTTTGTGAAATAACAGTTGCTGGTAACTGTGCAGGATCACCAACAAGAACAAGTTTGGAAGAACCATATTGAAGTGGTATAAGTGCATCTGGTTCTGTACATTGTCCAGCTTCATCAATAATAACACATCGAAAGGGAATTTCCCGGCTGTAAATTGTAAAAAAAAAAAAAAAAAAAAAAAAAAAAAAAAAAAAAAAATTGAATATTTGTTAAAAATGTTAAATAATTAAAATTAATAAATAAAATTAACCTTCTTCTAAAAGCATCAACCATAGGCTTGGATCCAGCTCCACTTAATGTTGAACATATTATATCTGCTCGCAATAACAAACTGCGCTGCAAATTATGTTCTTCTTCACTATAAAGACCTTGATCATCTCCTTTTTCTGATAAACTGTTACGCTTATAATTAAGCTCATCTAATGATTTTTGCATTCGAGAGCGCTCTTCAGTTTTGACCATGTACTAAATTGATTTTATTTATTTACAAGATAAAAGTTTATACCAAACAGAAATATGTTTTATTCAACTTTGCAATAAAATACCTGTTCACTTTCATTTTGATTATTTGACATCCTGAGTTTCTGACATTCAATGTCCATAACTTGTAGCCTGGATTTCAACAATTTTATTTGCTCTATAATTTTTGATTTATTATGTGATGACTTATAGTTCTTAAGTTCACGTTCTAATAAATATTCTAAAGAGTACTGCACCAAGTCAGATGAAACCTGTGTCTTCTGACCAACTCGAACTATATTAAAATCACCACAATTTCCATGTTCTAAACAATAAGAAAAAGTTGCAGTCTTAATTTCTTAAGTTAAACACTTGGTAAAAATCCAAAATAAAAAAAACTTACTTATAGCATGACTATCATTATCATCTCTATACGGTGGACTCTGTACTAAGCGCCTAACTATTTCATCCACAGCAGCATTCGATGGAGCACAGAACAAAATACGTTGAGACTTTTGATTTGATGATGCTCTTGACTTATAAAACTCCTAATTTTTTTAACCAAACAGTCAAAAATAATATATTTTTTAAAACTTTATGACAAACACTTTATTTTTTAACTTTATAAATTAGGCAAAAAATTGATAAAAAAATAATATATATATATATATATATATATATATATATATATATATATATATATATATATATATATATATATATATATATATTATAATTGATACCTGCATTAAGTGAGTTATAATTGTCTTTATAGTATATGACTTCCCAGTTCCTGGTGGACCCTGTAATAGTACAATTCTAGGAATAACAAAATCTACTTGACAAACAGCACGCGAAACAGTAGAAAGTGCCTGGAGTTGCATTAGATTCAATTTAGAAAGTCTTTTAAATTTATCCTTTTGAAGAAGTTCTTCATTGCAGTTATATGTTTTCATTCTAAATGGTTTTAATATATCTGCTGCAAGCAAAGAGTTTTTAAACACAGTTAAAGCATTAAATTGTCTTATAACAGTTCTTAGCGAAGCAATTTTCTTAATGCTAACAATTTTGTATGTTTTACTATTAGACATTTCTGCTAACTTTATATTTAAAACATAAGTTGGCACAAAACTATTTTTGTATCTTTTATTTATAACAGCTTTTTCAACTATACCAAACACTGATTGATTCTCATTAATAAAATGAACCAATACTAAATCATCTTCACTAGGACAGTCTAGATAATTCTCTTTACATTCATACTCACATTTAATGTGATAACTTGTATCTATTGTTTTATGTTCATTAATTTCAGTAATTTTATAAATTTTAGAGGAATATAATTTTTCTTTCCATTCTTTACTAACAAGGCTCTGCGCTTCACAAAGTATTAAGTTGCAAAATGTATTGTAATATTCATCATAAGTATCAAAATTAATACCAACATTCTTTAAACATTTAGTTGTTTCAACAGGTTCTTTTTGGTTTTCAAACCATTCTACTTTCCATTTAAATATTAATTTATGAAAGCTAGAAGTTGAAAGTACTTTGCTGTTGAGATTTGGTAACTTTAGAGGTTTACTTTTGGTAGTTAATTCTTGCTCAATTTTTTCTCTTCGCAATGTATTCGATCTTTGCATTAAAGTTGAACCAGATGCTTTTGGAGCTATCTTTTTAACCAGCAGAGGTTCATTAAAATTAGAAGAAATATCAAAACATTTATCAACAAAATTACTCATATCTTTCTCAGTTTCGAAATTTGCCAAAACATTGTTTTCTGTTTGGCTGACTAAAATTTTATTTTTATTCAAGTCTTTATCTAAATTCTCATTAGCTTTAAAATTACTGTTTTTATGTTTTATACTTTGATTAATTTTCAAAGACTCAGAGTCTTCTAAATCAATTATATTTAATAAAGTTGAATCGTTAGATTTAGGTACTAAACCTATGTTAGAAATTCTTTGATTTGATTCTGAGAGAGAAAATTTTGATGCTTCAAAGATTTTAGGAACATTACTTTGAGGTACAGAAGGTGTTACCTCTTTATATTTTATCGATAAAAAAGATTCGTCAGGTTTTATAGTTTTATTTTTTAAATCTTCAAACTTAATCCCGGAAGCCATGGTGTTATAGCTATAAACAATAGGAACTGAGGCAAGAGAATTAAAGTTGTTAATAGCATGAGTATCAAGGTCAACTTCTTCTTCATCACTAATAAGGATAGGACTGTGTGAACCAAGTCTCCTCTTTGTTAGAAAAAGAAAAACATTAATGTAAAAAAAACAAAACAAAAAACAACAAATTTAACAAGAATCAAATAAATTAATAAGTATATTTACCATATCTATCGGAGAAGACTTTGTTATTGAGAGGCATTCTGTATCAAGTTCTAAAATACCTAAGAAATTCAATTGTTACCATTAAGCCTATGTATGTGTGTGTGTGTGTGTGTGTGTGTGTATATATATATATATATATACACATATATACCATATATATATATATATATATATATATATATATATATATATATACATACCATATACATATATACCATATATATATATATATATATATATATATATATATATATATATATATATATATATATATATATATATATATATATATATATATATACATACATATATACACATATATACCAGGCTTGTACAGGAAGGCGTGCGATCGCACACCATTATATGACCACAAAAATAATACTTTATTTTGAGGATTTTAACCACGGTTTTTAACATTTTAAAAATGCGCTAAAAAAAATTATTTTTAATTACGTCAAAAATAAATAACTTAGAAACTTTTATCTTTACTAACGTTTTGATATTAGCGAAATGCTTTTAAATAAAGTAACTAAATAGAGTAAAGATGTTAATTACTGTTAACGTTTTAATTTAGAGTATAGATGAAAGTTGTATAAATTTTATCTCTTCTTTAAAAATGAAAGTTGTATAAATTAGTTGAGAAGAAAAAAAGAAAAGAAAACAAACTTTTGAATTAAAGACAGCCATTTGAATTAAACTTTGACCTTTATTAATGTTTTTATATTATTAAAACGCTTTTAAATAAAGTAACAATTCACTGCTAATGATTTTTTTACATTAAAGTAAAAATGTATTTTCTTTTCGCCTTTAAAAAAAAAAAAAAATTGATTGAAGTTATTATACTCGAAATATAACAATTTTTTTTTTTGCACGAATAAAAATTAAAAATATATATATATATATATATAATTTTATTTTTATGATTTTTTTTCTTTAGTCTTTAAATAAAAAAAATTTAATTATTAACAAATTAAAACAAATTATAAATTAAAGGAATAGTTTTGTTCATTATTTTTTGTTTTCATCTTCACTTTTCCTCAATTGTTCTCTGATATTGGATTTCTGACAAAAGAAAAGATTTAAATATTCTTTTGTTTACTTTACTACGAAGAACCGTAAAGTTTTTTTTGTTGTTATTTTTTAAATGTGCGTATTTATTAAAAAATTGTTGGAAGTTATTAGTTTGTTTAAAAGGGTTTCGCTATGTCTATATAATAAAGAAAAAACAATTTTTTTTTATTCGTAAGCCAGTCATCATTTTTGTGAAACGCGTCACCCACCCCCCAAATAAAAAAATAATAAAAAAAAGAAAACGCCATAAAGTATTAGTACTATTTA